TTGTTTTTTTTTTTTTTTTTCATGGAGTGAGATGGCACCCACTCCATTCTTCTTGTGTAGAATTGCTTTGGCAATACGGAGTCTTTTATGATTCCAGACAAATTTTATGATTGTGTTTTCTAGATCCGTGAAGAATGTGTATGGTGTTTTGATTGGCATTGCATTAAATAAGTAGATTATTTTGGGTAGAATTGCCAGTTTGGTTATATTAATTCTTCCAATCCAGGAACATGGGATATCCTTCCACTTTTTTGTGTCATTTTCAATTTCATTTTTTAGCTTCTCATAGTTTTCCTTGTGAACGTCTTTAACTTCTTTGGTTAAATTTATTTCTAAATATACTTTTTGTGGCTATGGTAAATGGAATAACTTTTTTCAGTTCTATTTCAGTATGCCTTTTATTCATATGTAGAAATGCTATCAATTTATGTATATTGATTTTATATCCTGGAACTTTACTGTAATCATTTATTACTTCCAGTAATTTTCCGATGGAGACCATTGGGTCTTCTATGTATATAATCATGTCATCTGCCAATAGAGAGAGTTTCACCTCTTCTTTTCCTATTTGGATGCCTGTAATTTTTTCCTCTTTTCTGATTGTGTTGATAAGGACTTCCAGTACTATATTGAAAAGGTGTGGAGAAAGTGGGCATCCTTGTCTTGTACCTGTTTTTAGTGGGAAAGCTTTCAGCTTTTCTTCATTCAGGATGATGTTCCCAATGGGGTTTTCATTGATAGCTTTTATTGTGTTGAGAAATGACCCTTGTATGCTGATTTTGCTGAGCGTCTTGAACATAAAGGGATGTTGTATCTTATGCTTTTTCTGCATCAATCGATATGACCATATGGTTTTTGTCTTTTTTCCTATTAATATGGTGTATTACATTTATGGTTTTGTGTATGTTGAACCAACCTTGCATTCCTGGAATAAAGCCTACCTGATCATGATGTATAATCTTTATTGTAATTTGTTCGATATGATTTACTAGTATGTTGTTGAGAATCTGTGTGTCTATATTCATCAGAGATATTGGTGTATAGTTTCCTTCCTTGTCCTGTCCTTATCTGTTTTAAGGATAACAGTGATAGTGGCTTCATAGAATGAATTAGGGAGAGATTCACCCTTTTGGATCTTCAGAAATAACTTGAGCAGAATGGGGGTTAACTGTTCTTTGAAAGTTTTGTAGAAGTCAAGAGGTGAATCCATCTGGGTCCGGGCTTTTCTTTGTTGAGAGGTTATTTATTACTGCTTCAATCTCCTGGCTTGTTATAAGTCTATTTAGACTTTCTTTATCCTCCTGGCTCATTCTTGGTATATTATATTTGTCCAGGAATTTGTCCATCTCACCCAGATTGTCTTGTTTCTTAGGATATAGATATTGAAAGTATCCTCTAATGATGTTTTGAATTTCTACTATGTCTGTTATATTACCAGCTTCATTGCAGATTTGATTCACTTGGTTCCTTTCTCTATTCTTAGTAAGTCTCGCTAATGGTGTATCGTTTTTGTTTATCCTTTCAAAGAACCAGCTTTTACTTTAATTTATTTTCTGTATAGTACGTATATTTTCTATTTCATTTATTTCTGCATGGATCTTAATTATTTCCTTTCTTCTGGAGTTTTTTGGATTTTTTTGCTGTTGCTTTTCTTAATCTCTGAGGCATGGTGTTAGGTGATCCATTTGCCTTCTTTCTGTCTTCCTCTTATGTGCACTGATTGCTATGAACCTCCGCCTTATTGACTGCTTTAGCTGGGTCCCAAAGATTATGGAAACTCATTTCCTCATT